CGGAGGACAGGGAGGAAACACTCGAAAATGGTGACATACTTGGAACCTGCAAGGAAAAGATGCAAAAAACGAGCAATTAAAAAACACAACCAAACATTCTGCAGTTGATATGCCCCCCTCCCCTTCTGCCAATCACCGCTTAGGCCACGGCCACCTACCCAGTCAGGGCTGAGGAGATCCATTTGTCTTGCGGTCGTCTCCTCCTCGGCTTTGGCCTCCTCCTCCTTTTCATTGAAATTGTCATCCTCAATGGCTGACTGCTGGCAGAGACAGGACCCCAGAAAGGAAAGGAGAAAGAGAGCATCCCAAAATGAGACAGGAACCCAGAAGGCAAACTCTCTTGCCCACATTGAGTCTCTAGCCAGGGAAGCCCTACAGCCCTGCTGCCATGGGGGGCTGGTCCATCAGGACAAGTGGGGCAGCAAGCACAGCACATTAACTCTCAAGGCACCCATAATTCAAACAACAGAACAGCGGCAAACCAGCCACTCGTGTGCCCGGTTCAAGGTGGGGGTCCTGTGGCCGGGGGGGGGCAGGGGGCAGACGCAAGCCCCACGCTGCTGTTTCAGGCAGCGCCCAGCCTGCAGGGGCCCAAGCCACCACGTCATCCCCAGGAGAGATGTGTGGATCAGGCACTCTGCAGCCCCCCCCCGGTAAGTGCCAGCCCCCGCGGTGTGGCGCCCAGTGCCAGCCGCGTTTTTTGACTCATCTAAAAGGTTTGGTGAGGCCAATTTTTATTTATTTTTAAACTCGGCTTTTTGTCCTTTTGCCACCCCCCTCAGGGATGACACCTGGGGCGGACCCCCACCCCCACCTTCTTTTCTCTCCAACTGCAACAGAATAAAAGGACTCCAAACTCCCTTAGCAGTTTCCTGCTGGTCCCCTCACCATTTTCCCAGACGTTAATCTTCTCACTTTGCAGTCGCAGATAAGGCACCCAAAGGCTGCTGCGCAAGGCAGGGATTGGTCTCAACTGCAAAGTGAGGCTGGGATTCTGAGCCGATGTCACAGCCAGGTTCCGATCAGTCCATTTCCTCCAAGGGGGGGGGGACCTGTTTCCCCTGAGGGTGACCGCTGAAGACACCACCCAAGGGAAAAAGAAGGAGAAAGGCGGAGAAATCTTTTAATTCTTTGGCAAGAAAAAATGAGTGCCAGGAGTTTTCTTTTCCCTGCACTCCTCCATTGCCACACCTTTTCATTACTATTATTATGCTAGATTTAATGAACACTCATATCAGAGTGCTCTGTAAATTGGTGGCCATAGTCTTTATATACTAACCTTTTATGCTCATCCACATCCGTTTAATGCCCCCAAACCCTTCTTTTAGCGTCTTTTAGACTTTTATGTATACTTTGTGTTAAATACTTTTTCGCTTTCCGAAACGTTTTACAGACTGAAAATGATTGTACCCCACTCTACTGATGCTGGTCTACTACTGTAATAAAGATTGGATTGATTGATTGAAATGAAGTATCCTATAGAAATGCAATGACTGGACACTAATGTAATGTATTCCCCTCCCCCCAAATTCATACTTTATTACTTATTAATATTAGTAAGAATAATGAAATAAGTCAAGCCAGAGGCTGCTCCCAGCTTAAATTTATATAGCACCCTTCATTGGAATGCTACAAGTTGAATCGTAATAAGAATGAGAGTTTCCACCAATTTGAAGTGATGAAAGTTTAAGTAGGAGGTAATCTTGACTAATTAATATAAATGCTTTGTCAGTGGCTGATCTGTAAATTATTTTTACTTGCTCTTTTGATCTTGGCTTTGCTCTATAATGGGGACCTGAATGGGAGGAACCTGAGTTGGAGGAGGAGGACCTGAATGGGAGGAACCTGAGTTGGAGGAGGAGGACCTGAATGGGAGGAACCTGAGTTGGAGGAGGAGGACCTGAATGGGAGGAACCTGAGTTGGAGGAGGAGGACCTGAATGGGAGGAACCTGAGTTGGAGGAGGAGGACCTGAATGGGAGGAACCTGAGTTGGAGGAGGAGGACCTGAATGGGAGGAACCTGAGTTGGAGGAGGAGGACCTGAATGGGAGGAACCTGAGTTGGAGGAGGAGGACCTGAATGGGAGGAACCTGAGTTGGAGGAGGAGGACATGAATGGGAGGAACCTGAGTTGGAGGAGGAGGACCTGAATGGGAGGAACCTGAGTTGGAGGAGGAGGCCTCTCCCTATTCCTTCCAGACTGAGCATAAGATGCCTCCTCTGAAAAGGTTTGGCAGGCAGGGAATACAACTATCTGGCTTCGTCTCATTGCTTCCCTCCAATGCTAAACTTCTTGCTTGCTCACTCGTAATCTGGCGATCCACTCAACATCAGTGCACAACATGTCACATCCAGGCTGTGTAATAAAACCCATTGGACTCCAGTCAAGGCTTGGCTAAGGTCAGTTGCTACTTTTTGGAACAGGGAGCAGAGCTTACACCATACAGAAATTAAACCAACAGACTACGGAAGATGTCTTAAATGAATTTCTCAGTTTATTGATATACAAAGCTTAGGAGAACGAAATGACATGAAGTGTACTTATGAATGATACAGCATACATGTAGAAAATGGAGAAAATTCAATAAATAGAAATGACATAACTAGAAACTATTGTTGAGTATCAGAATTGATATGGTTAATAGGTAGTTAGGACAAAGGAATCACACTCAAAGACCTAACTCCTCCCTCCCTCCAGCCTATCTTGTTGTGAGATAAATTGAAGTTCCCAAAACACAATTTTTTAAAAAGATAATAGTTTACAAACTAAGGGCAGTAGACCAGGACTCATTGTAGTCATGAGCAAAGCAAGGTAGCAAAACATTTCCTCCCATCTTACCGTTCATGTCAACAGGACTTCCTAAAACCTGGACTAAGAATGAACACAATCTCTGTCAGAGGTGGAGAAGGAGCAACATGGATGAGTAGCTGTGTTTCCTTTATGCACTTCTGGACATCAGGAACATGGAATGTTTTAAGAATCAGGTGTCCCCTTAACGTCTGGTTGTTCAAGACCACCAAAGAAGGAGCTGGATCCGACCATGGACTCTCCTTCCTTGGAGGTTTTGAAGCAGAGGGTGGATGGCCATCTGTTGGGATTCTTTAGCTGAGATTCCTGCATCGCAGAGGGTTGGACTAGAGGACCTTGGGGTCCCTTTCCAAGTCTCCCATTCTATGATTCATATGAGGTGGGAGAGTCAGGGATGGACAACAGCCAGATGTGGGAGTCCCAGCCTTGTATCCCAGGCATCCTAAGCCCTTTTAAAAATGTGGGGTTTTTTTGGGAGGGCAGAGGCTGTTATTGGGTTGTTGTTTTTATTTTGATTATATATATTGTGGTTTTATATTTTGATTTTGCTCTCTGAACCGCCCTGAGACCTCCAGGCATAGGGCTTTATATAGAGTCAATAAGTAAATTTTTAAAAAATAAAAAAAATAGAGAATGCAGAGAAATGCCATCCTCAGTACTGTGAACAGGATACATGGCGGTGGGATTTTGTTTCCTGGCGGCTTCTAGAAACAGAGACTGGTGGAGCCTGCGATGGGGAGGGTTTTCTCAAGCCCACCCTCTGGCCGCTATGGGTGGGTCTGGGCTGCTTGATTCCTGCCACTCTCTTCTCGTTCTCCCCCTGAAGGGAAGTAGCACCTTGGTGGCTTCAGAGCCACTTCAAGTGAATTTCCACCCCATCTTTGAAAGGCTTCTCCAACAGAGGGAAGCTCTCTGGGGTTGGTGGAGGGGAGAAAGGTTGCTCTGAGCCTTATACCTTTTGCCCTTTGACATGTTTTGGGGAAGGTGAGCTTCTGTTGCACATGGAACCAACTTGCTCCCCGTCTTTGAGCAGAAACTTCTCTACTCATAAACAAATTGTCTGTGCACAAGCCAGGCTAGCAATCTAGCAGCTTTAATATTCTTTATCAATATTTGTTTGTTTGTTTGTTTGTTTGATCCGTTTCATAAAATCCATGCCCCACTTGATTGGGCAAATAACTCCCATCTCTAACCATGTAACTCCATTTAAGTCTCCCATTAGTATACAGTGGTACCTCTGGATGCGAACGGGATCCGTTCCGGAGCCCCCTTTGCATCCTGAAGCGAACGCAACCCACGTCTGCACGTGTGCTGGTCACGATTCGCTGCTTCCACGCATGTGCGTGACATCATTTTGAGCATTTGCGCATGTGCGAATGGCAAAACCCGGAAATAATGCTTTTTGTTACATCCGGGTTGCCGCGGAGCGCAACCTAAAAACTCTCAGTTTCCTTCTTATTGTAATTTCTTTGACCCCCAGAAGATCTCACTGTCTCTTTTCTCAGTTCTTTCTTTAGCTGTCCCTTCTTGCTCGCTTGCTTTCCTCCTTTCCTTCCTCCTCCTCCTTTGGGCGTGGGCAGCGTGAGCTAGCAGTTTTCCTACGCCATATTGTGGTTCGAGGGCCCGACCCCCACGAAGTGAAATGAAGACACAAGGACACGTGATATAAGGTTAATGGGCTAGAAAAGGCCACAACTTTATTGATTACAGCAATGAAAAGGTATTGGCTTAGGCATTGGATCGAAACAAGTGGGTTTATTCACCAGGCGTTCATCACCTGTTGATGCTAATCCAACTATAGGCTCACCCCTGCTGTCACCGCGGGTCGTGCCATGGCCTCCCGCCAAGCAGGCATCGGACAGAATACACGACCGCCAGACTCCTTTACCGGAATACCCCTAAAAATTGAAGGCATAGGCGATGGCCACACCTAGCACTTCAACACACCACAACACATTATTCCAATGCCTAACCTACCCACCAATACCACAAAAGTTGTGACGATTGCTACGAGGTAGGCGAAAAAACCAAAAAGCCTATTGCCAAATGGAAAAACTCCTACCAGGCCCCCCAGGCAACCAGGGCGACCAACCTAAGGTCCATAGCAAGGCCAATGACCTAAGCCCTAACTAAAAGGGAGTGGAGGGTGGGTGACTCATGACGGGACGACTATGAGGAATGGGGCCAGGGAAAGGCTGGCACTGCAGCAAAAGGCTGCTGAACACGCCCCCACCACGGCACCTGGTTGGGTGGCCACCGGGGGGGGGGCGTGAGTGCCAGCCAGGTGAGCGGGAGGCAGGGGGCAACGCCCCCTGCTGGGCGGTGCTCGGGTTCCTGCCCACAACCACTCCCCTATCTTTCAGGGAGGAGAGTCTTTGCCCTTTCTTTTCAAGCCACCTTCCAGGATCGTTCCCCTCTCAGTCCTGCCTTCTCCTTCTCCTCCGCCACCGTAGACGCTGTCGTTCTCTCGCACTTCTCCTTCGCCGTCCACCCTTTGCCTGCTGTCTTCGCCGTTCTGCTCCGCAATCTCAAAAGGTGTCGGGCTCTAGGACTGGGGCTGGCCGTGTGGGATGCCAGTGTAGGGCCACATGGGGTTGGGTTTCTCACCCCGCTTGCCTCCGCGCTCAGATCTTTTATTCCTCCTCTCCAGTTTGGACCACAAGGATTAAGACCTGTGCAAGGACAACAAAAAGGAAATGTCCCTTAGGGACTCGGGCGCCTCCAGGTGCTACTTCCCCTGCCACCACTGGCGGAGGAAGCTGGGGTGTGGGGGGGGGTATCGCCCCGAGTGTCATCCCAGGGGGGGTGGCAAAATCCCCCTGGGCGGATCGGTGCAAGCCTCCCAACTCCTCCTCATCTGGGTTCAGGGTGGACACAGCTGCGATGCTGCCGCATCCAGCGCCTGAGCCACGTGCAGAGTGGCCTCCTTTCCCCCTGCGCCCCACTGCTGCCTCTTGTATTGGGTTGCTCTGGTGGCACTGGTGGTGCTGGCGGCAGCGCTCTTCTGAAGATCTTGCGAATCCGGGAGATGATGGAACCCAGGCAAGTGGGGGTCTTCGGAGGCCTCTCTTCCTCACAGTCCTGTGAGAAAAGTAAACAATTCACCTCCAGATTCTGGGAAAATGCCGCAATCATTAATCAATCAATCAAACAAACAAACAAACAATTGATTGATTAAATCCGTACGCCGTCCTTCATCTGAAGCTGTCAGGGCGGCTTACAGCATAAAAATACAAAATAAAAACACAACATATGTATTAAAAACAAAAACGAACTCATAAGCCAACCTCCCAATCCACAAGCATGTTGAAAAGGCCATGCGTTGTCCAATTAGCCCAAGGCTGGTTCTAGAGCAGAACTTTCCATGTTGGTGACACACTTTGGAGACATGCCTCATTTCGCAAGACAGGGATTCAGTTCAACTAGCCCTTTTCCAGCCCTGGGAGGAGCACACAGTTTGGAAAGCTCTGTTCTAGAGAAACGTCTTTGCTTGGCACCTAAAGATACATAATGAAGATGCCAGATGAGCCTCCCTGGGAAGAGCATTCCGCAAGTGGGGAGCCACCACAGATAAGGCCCCTTCTTGTGCTGCTGCCCTCCAGACCGTTTGTGAAGGAGAAGGGCCTGTGTGGTGGCAGGCTGTCATAATCCCTCCTTTTCTTTTTTGGGGCAAGGCGTTATATGAAAGGGTTGTAGTCAGGAGGGAACACTCCTCTCCCAAGTTCTCATGTGGTCAGCCTTGGAGAGATCTGAACGAGACACAAAACCAAGAACAAGAGGGTGGGGGGGAAGGTATAGGAGGCAGGAAAACCCCAGAGAGAACCGGCTTTGCAAAGTGCCAACATGGTTTTATTATCGCCAAACCCACTTTGCAATTAATAACTTCATTTGGCAGGAGGCACCTGGAAACGCATTCAAAAGAGATATCTTACAAAACAAACACCAAACCAAAAGCAACCCAGGAGAATTATCTCCACCCCCATCGTTCTGAGATCCAGTGCTGAGGGCCTTCTGGCGGTTCCCCACTGCGATAAGTGAAGTTACAGGGAACCAGGCAGAGGGCCTTCTCGGTAGTGGCACCCGCCCAGTGGAACGCCCTCCCGCCAGATGTCAAAGAAATAAACAACTATCTGACTTTTAGAAGACATGTGAAGACAGCCCTGTTCAGGGAAGCTTTTCATATGTCATGAATGAATGTATGTTTCGTCTGACCTTGATTACACTTGCCTCCAGGTGTTCTCCAGGTGGGGGGCACGGCAAATAAAGGGCCTCCCCGTCCTCCTCTCGGGGGCTCTCTGGTACTTCCTGTGGCTCTTCCTCCTCGATAGCCACTTCAGAGGCTGCCTGCCAGCAGAGACAGGACCCCAGAGGTGGTGGCATTGGTGGTGGGGAGAGGGAGAAAGAGAGCAGCCCAGAATGAGACAGGAACCCACATTGAGTCGCTAGCCAGGGAGGCCCTACAGCCCTGGCGCCATGGGGGGCTGGTCCATCAGGACAAGTAGGGCAGCAAGCATACCCTTAGCAGCCCCCTGCCTGCCTGCCTGCCCCCTTGCTCACGACCAGTCCAGAAGGTGGCCTGACCGGCCAGCCGGCTTCCTCCTCCTCCTCCTCCCCAGCCTCAGGGTTCTCCAGCTCAGCAGGGCTTCCCTCCTGCTCTGTCTGCTACGTACCTCATTGAGGGAGTCCCAAAGGGAATCCAGGGAGGACAGGGAGGAAACACTCGAAAATGGTGACATACTTGGAACCTGCAAGGAAAAGATGCAAAAAACGACCAATTAAAAAACGCAACCAAATGTTAAAACTCAAGGCACCCATAACTGAAACAACAGTTCCATTCTGCGGTTGATATGCCCCCCTCCCCTTCTGCCAATCACCACTTAGGCCACGGCCACCTACCCAGTCAGGGCTGAGGAGATCCAGCCGTTTTGCGGTCGTCTCCTCCTCGCCTTTTCCTTCGTCCTCCTTGACATTGAGAATCTCCTCGGTGGCTGACTGCTAGCAGAGACAGGACCCCAGAGTTGACGGTGGGGAGAGAGGAGAAAGAGAGCATCCCAAAATGAGAGAGGAACCCAGAAGGGAAACTCTCTTGCCTACATTGAGTCGCTAGCCAGGGAAGCCCTACAGCCCTGGCGCCATGGGGGGCTGGTCCATCAGGAGGAGTGGGGCAGCAAGCATGGTCTGCCCTTAGCAGCCCCCTGCCTGTTTGCCCCCTTGCTCTCAACCGTCCAGAAGGTGGCCTGGCCGGTCAGCCAGCCAGCATCCTCCTCTTCCTCCTCTTCCTCCTCCTCCCCAGCCTCAGGGTTGCCCATGTGCAGCTCAGCAGGGCTTCCCTCCTGCTCTGTCTGCTACGTACCTCATTGAGGGAGTCCCAAAGGGAATCCAGGGAGGACAGGGAGGAAACACTCGAAAATGGTGACATACTTGGAACCTGCAAGGAAAAGATGCAAAAAATGAGCAATTAAAAAATGCAACCAAACGTTAAAACTCAAGGCACCCATAACTGAAACAACAGTCTCATCCTACGATTGATATGCCCCCCTCCCCTTCTGCCAATCACCACTTAGGCCACGGCCACCTACCCAGTCAGGGCTTAGGAGATCCAGCCGTTTTGCGGTCTCCTCCTCGCCTTTTCCTTCGTCCTCCTTGACATTGAGAATGTCCTCCTCAATGGCTGACTGCTAGCAGAGACGGGACCCCAGAGTTGACGGTGGGGAGAGAGGAGAAAGAGAGCATCCCAAAATGAGACAGGAACCCAGAAGGCAAACTCTCCTGCCCACATTGAGTCGCTAGCCAGGGAAGCCCTACAGCCCTGGCGCCATGGGGGGCTGGTCCATCAGGACAAGTGGGGCAGCAAGCACAGCACATTCACTCTCAAGGCACCCATAATTCAAACAACAGAACAGCGGTATAGCCAGCTGCTTGGGTGCCCGGTTCAACGCGGGGGTCCTGTGGGCGGGGGGCGCTTTCTGGAGCCTATCCTCTGCCTCCCCCTCAGCTGTAGGGCGGCTGAGGGAGAGGCAGGGGGCAGACGCAAGCCCCACGCTTCTGTTTCAGGCAGCACCCAGCCTGCAGGGGCCCAAGCCACCAAGTCACCCCCAGGAGAGATGTGTGGATCAGGCACTCTGCACCCCCCCCCCAGTAAGTGCCGCGTTTTTTGACTCAACTAAAAGGTTTGGTGAGCCCAATTTTTATTTTTATTTTAAACACGGCTTTATGTCCTTTTCCCACCCCCCTCACTGATGACACCTGGGGCGGACCCCAACCCCCACCCCCCACCCTCCTTTCTCTGCAACTGCAACAGAATAAAAGGACTCAAAACTCCCTTAGCAGTTTCCTGCTGGTCCCCTCACCATTTCCCCAGACATCAGTCTTCAGACTTTGCTTTTTCGGCGTCTAATCACAGTTTTTTCTGATTCACTTGCAGAGAAACCACCAAAAGGCTGTTGGCCTCAACTGCAAAGTGAGGCTGGGATTCTGAGCCGATGTCACAGCCAGGTTCCGATCAGTCCATTTCCTCCAAGGGGGGGGGGACCTGTTTCCCCTGAGGGTGACCGCTGAAGACACCACCCAAGGGAAAAAGAAGGAGAAAAGCGGAGAAATCTTTTAATTCTGTAGCAAGAAAGAATGAGTGCCAGGAGTTTTCTTTTCCCTGCACTCCTCCATTGCCACACCTTTTCATTACTATTATTATGCTAGATTTAATGAACACTCATATCAGAGTGCTCTGTAAATTGGTGGCCATAGTCTTTATATACTAACCTTTTATGCTCTTCCACATCTGTTTAATGCTCCCAAACCCTTCTTTTAGCGTCTTTTAGACTTTTATATATACTTTGTGTTAAATACTTTTTCGCTTTCCGAAACGTTTTACAGACTGAAAATGATTGTACCCCACTCTACTGATGCTGGTCTACTACTGTAATAAAGATTTGATTGATTGATTGATTGATTGATTGAAATGAAGTATCCTATAGAAATGAAATGACTGGACACTAATGTAATGTATTCCCCTCCCAGGGTGACCGCTGAACACACCACCCAAGAGAAAAAAGAAAAAATGCAGAGAAATTGTGGCATCTGAATATAGACTGCATTTTTAATCAAGTCTTATATTGGCTTATATCTTGATCAGGTTCCTAAATTAAATGGGCTTAGATTTTCAAATGTTTCATGCCAGGCAGAAGACAAGCTGTTTAGAGAACACTGGCAATGTTTTCCTCCTAGACAAGGGGGCCCTTGATTTATAGCAGAAAACAATTCTCAAAGTCGTTAAAGGGGGGAATTACAGGTTAAAGAGCAAGGTTACGGACCCAACATAATTAAGAGATGGTAAACAGTAAAATAAAACCATGTGCCTTAAACTTGAGCCACAGGACAAAAGGCCAAGAGCACATGGAAAACAAAGCAACTGGCTGGAGAAGGGGGGAGTGTAAACAGGGGAAGAGGCTTTTTTCCTATTTTATTTTGAGGCTGTAAACTGTTCCTTCCTTTCACTTTGAGGAAATTTATCCTTCTAAAAAGCTATCTATGATAATGTATGAAATATGCTGGCTTAAATGTAATTATGCAAAGGATTTAAGAAATGCTAGATTCTTATTTCATATAGTTGTAAGAGTTGTATTTATCCTGAAATTAAGTCAGCCACCAGCCTAGCCCCCCGCCAGACAAGAGACGCCATCCAAGCAGTCCTGATATATAAGTTGTCAGACATTTGTTTAGAAACCTTCAAATGAAGGAGATCTTTCAATGTTGATGTGAAACTCAAGATCCTTGACATATGTTTAAGATAAAAATTTAAGATTAACCATTTGTTTTAGAAGGCAATAGGGCAAGGAGGGCAAGAGGTGAGCTGGTAATTAAGATTCCTTGTTGAGACACATGTAAGATATAATACTACATATTTGTCATTTATAGATGTAACAATATATAGCTCTTTGTGTTCCATATAAGGACAGGAGGATATGGGTGTATTTTTGTGATTGGTTATACCAATCAGCCAATAGGAAATTCAACCAGGCTGATGGGACAGAGGCAGCCCAAGGAGGAGCAAAGGGGGCTGGATTAAGGGAATATAAGTGCTGGCCATAATGGCAGGAGGCCAGGCCAGAGCTTGGTAACCATATACCACTGTGCCTCTCATTTATTTGTCTGACAAATAAATTATTATTTTAAATTCTCTATTGCTGCGTTGAATATTTCATTCCAGCTAAGCGTTAACCACAAGCAGGGTGCTACAAAATCTTATAATTCTGTAGCAAGAAAGAATGAGTGCCAGGAGTTTTCTTTTCCCTGCACTCCTGCATTGCAACACCTTTTCATCATCATCATCATTGTCATCATCATTAAACTAGATTTAATGAACACTCATATCAGAGTGCTCTGTAAATTGGTGGCCATAGTCTTTGCAGTAGTACATTACCGTATTGGCCTGATTATAAGCCTCACTTTCCTCCCAAATTCTGACCGTGAAAGGTTAAAGTGCGGCTTAAATTCACAAGCTTACGAAGGCTGGCTTTTACAATATCGCTGCCGGAACAGACTTGCGGTAAAATGGAACAGGAGAGAGTGCCTGCAGAATTTGAAGGGAGCGGCTTATATTTGGTTATATTATATTATAATGTATTAGGTATCATTGCAATCAAGGTGATGAGATAATAATAATAATAATAATAATAATAATAATAATAATAATAATAATAATGGTTTTCCAGGCCACTCTGGGTGGCTCCCAACAGAATATTAAAAGCACTATTAAAATCACAGCCACAACATGCATTTAAAGAATTTTGGGAGCTCTAAATTGCAGGTAAAACAACAGGTGGGTGGCCAATGCCATTTTGGCCTCTGTTGTCCAGGGCGCAGGAGCCGCGGGAGGTCGGGAAAGGGATTCGCGACTTCCTTGGCTATGGGGGTTTATGAGTATAATAATTGGTTGTTATTAGTTTATTAGCAGGCCAGGAGGAAGGTTGCGCAGGGCAGCCTGGGAAGGGTGAGGGAAAGGCTGTGAGGAAAAGCCTTCTCTCTTTCTCCCTCAAGTTTAAATGGAAGAATCCAAATACGTCTAGAGAAAAATAAGATGATAAGAAACAGGATCCTTGTTTGTGAGAAGAAGGGGCAGCAAAGGATGCTGGGAAGAAGGATGTGAGGGAAAGAAACCTAATAAAGGATAATTTACCAATAACGCTAATAAGTGAAACCTAACCAAAGACAATTTGGGATTAATTTATTTAGTTATACATTGGAAAATGAGTAAATTTCAATTATAGGACACAGGATCTTTGTTTGTGAGAAGAAGGGGTAGCAAAGCATGCTGGGAAGAAGGACGTGAGGGAAATGAAATGAAACCTGATAGAGGTTAATTTATCCATAAAGCTAATAAGCGAAGCCGAACATAAGACTCCTTGAAATTGAATTATTTGGTTATACACTGGAAAAACGAGTAAATTTCAAATTTATTCCTGCTGGGATTCGACCATTGGCCCAACGGAGCTGGCAGTGCATGCTGGGAAGTTTGCCCCCCCCAGTGTGAACTGTGCCGGTGGAGGCTGGCGGGAGTTGCAGGGCCTTTTGAAGGTGGCCCCTTCCCCTCCGAGGGCCACATGACCCTCCTCGTCCGCCAGGGACACCAGCGCCTGCAGCCCGTCCAGCTGGCCAGAGTCAACCAAGGGCCAGAGAGGCTGGCAGGGGCAGGATCCCCAGGTGAGCCCGGGAGAGAGAGGGGCCCCTGGGGGGATGTGCACTCTGCACGCTCTCAGAGGCCGGAGAGGCTGGCAGGGGCAGGGCCCCCAGGTGAGCCCGGGAGAGAGAGGGGCCCCTGGGGGGATGTGCACTCTGCACGCCCTCAGAGGCCGGAGAGGCTGGCAGGGGGAGGGCCCCCAGGAGAGAGAGGGGCCCCTGGGGGGATCTGCACTCTGCACACCCTCAGAGGCCAGAGAGGCTGGCAGGGACAGGGCCCCCAGGTGAGCCAGGGAGAGAGAGGGGCCCCTGGGGGGATTTGCACTCTGCACGCCCTCAGAGGCCGGAGAGGCTGGCAGGGACGGGGCCCCCAGGTGAGCCCGGGAGAGAGAGGGGCCCCTGGGGGGATCTGCACTCTGCACGCCCTCAGAGGCCGGAGAGGCTGGCAGGGGCAGGATCCCCAGGTGGGCCCAGGAGAGAGAGGGGCCCCTGGGGGGATGTGCACTCTGCACGCCCTCAGAGGCTTCGTAGTCTAAGCTCAGGGGGCTCTCTGAGCCAGCATATCTCTGGGGGATGAGGGGTTTCTTCCCATTTGTCAACATCCGTCTTAAATAGTGGTGCCCGGAATTGGACACAGTATTCCAGGTGGGGACTGACCAAGGCAGAATAGAGCTGAGTCTTGTAAGCCACTGGTATTAGTAGCAATAAAAGTAATAATAATCACAACAAGATTAGACTTCGTTAACAAATATTTATGCTGCTTAACTGTGTGCATTGCAATCACTTATTCATTGTTGTGCGTAGTAATTTTAAGTGCATTCTTAATATTACGATCAATGTGCAATACTTTTAAAATGCATAATTTCTTTAAATATAAACACAGAAATAAATGAAGCTCTAAATTCATCGGATGATGACCTGTGCCACAAACTGGGAACCAGGCAGAGGGGCTTCTCGGTGGTGGCACCTGCCCTGTGGAACGCCCTCCCCACCTCCTTTC